GAGCCGGAAGGTGGCATTGCTTAGAGGTCAGAGTTCAAACCAGCCTGAGCAAGAGCGAGACCCGTCTCTACTAAATAAGAAAAAACTATCTTTTTTAAAAAGAAAAAATAGAAAAAAGAAAAAAAAAAAGTATTTTACTATTATTTTCTATTAGTGTCCTAAGAATGGCAATAGCAGAACACCCTTACAGTCAAAAAGCTCATCCTTAGGACGATAGGTGAAAAGAAAAGTTAATTATGACAGCAACAATCAATTCTGGGTAGTGAGTATGTTGACATATATTATTCTTCATAGTATTCTGAATCTATTTAATTTCACAAAATAAAATTGGGGGGAAAAATTGCTATCAGTCCCAAAATGAATTTTTTCAGCCTACAACATGCTGATAAATCCTTTAGTCATGTGAATACAATTCAGGCTAATCATGGCTATTGAGTTTTGTTTTATTTTAAAATATAGTACATTCCATATAAAGCTAGTAAAGTAGAGGTTATCAGAGGCAGAGATATAACATTTAGATCACACAGAAAGATTCAGTAGATTAATTCCGTTCTTTTTTTTTTTTTTTTTTTTCTTGAGCCCAGGAGTTTGAGGTTGCTGTGAGCTAGGCTGATGCCACAGCACTCATCTGCCCAGGCACACAAAGTGAGACTCTGTCTCAAAAAAAAAAAAGAATAGTAATTATGACAGCAACAATCAATTCTGGGTAGTGAGTATGTTGACATATATTATTCTTCATAGTATTCTGAATCTATTTATATTCACAAAATAAAATTGGGGAAAAATTGCTATCAGTCCCAAAAGAATTTTTCAGCCTACAACATGCTGATAAATCCTTTAGTCATGTGAATACAATTCAGGCTAATCATGGCTATTGAGTTTTGTTTTATTTTAAAATATAGTACATTCCATATAAAGCTAGTAAAGTAGAGGTTATCAGAGCAGAGTATAACATTTAGATCACAAAGAAAGATTCAGTAGATTAATTCCGTTCCTTTTTTTTTTTTTTTTTTGAGACAGAGTCTCACTTTGTTGCTCAGGCTAGAGTGAGTGCCGTGGCATCAGCCTAGCTCACAGCAACCTCAAACTCTGGCTCAGGAGATCCTTCTTCCAGCTCCCAAGTAGCTGGGACTATAGGCATGCGCCACCATGCCGCTAATTTTTTGTATATATATTTAGTTGTCCAATTAATTTCTTTCTATTTTTAGTAGAGACAGGGTCTTGCTCAGGCGGTTTTTGACTCCTGACCTCGAGCATCCGCCGCCTCGGCCTCCCAGAGTGCTAGGATTACAGGCGTGAACCACCCCGCCTGGCCTAATTCCGTTCTTTTAAATGCTAAAACTCAAAGAAAAACAGTTTTTTAAGAGACATGATGTCTTGCTCTGTCACTCAGAACTGATACAGTGGTATGATCATAGCTCACTGCGCCTTGAAGTCCTGCAGGCTCCAGTGGATCTTCTGCCTCAGGCTTCAATGAGCCGTGGACAACAGGCCGTGCCACCACACCAGCCTGCGGCAACATAGTGAACTTTTGTTCTCTGTAAAAATAAAAAAAATTAGCGTCTGTGTGGTGGCCAACGTGCCCTGTTGTCACAGCTACATGTCGAAGCTGAGGCAAGAAAAGATCACTGGACGCCTAGGACTTCAAGGCCTGCAGTGAGCTATGAATCATAACTGTACTCAGTCTGAGTGACAGAGCAAGACAATTGTTCCTTAAAAACATGTTTTTTTCTATTGAGTTTTAGCATTTAAAAGAAACGGAAATTAGGCAGGCGGGGTGGTTCAACGCCTGTAATACTAAGCCTCTGGGAGGCCGAGGCGGCGGATTGCTCGAGTCCAAGGAGTTCAAAACCCGCCTGAGCAAGACCTGTCTCTACTAAAAAATAGAAAGAAAGTTAATTGGACAACTAATAATATAGTATACAAAAAATTAGCCGGGCTGGTGCGCATGCCTATAGTCCCCCAGCTACTTGGGAGCTGAGACAGAAGGATCGCCTGAGCCCCAGGAGTTTGAGGTTGCTCAGTGACTAGGCTGCTGCCACGGCAACTACCTAGCCGCTGAGCAACAAAGTGGACTCTGTCCTCAAA